TGTCCAGAACTTTTTTTTTTAAGAAAAAAAATGAATATGAAAAGGAAGCTACATTATTAACTAAACCTTTCTGGGGAGAGGAAGCTATCTGCTCCTTATTGGTGGTCAGTTCCTTTGATATACATGGACCAAAGAGAAGAATGACTCCAAACATCAGCCACAGAAAGATGTTATAACAGGACTCTTTGTTCTTCTTGCCTTCTTCTTTTTTTATGTAAGAAAATCTGTGAATATTTGAGCAGCCCAACTTCATCAGGAAACCTCAGGAACAGCACTGGAAGCAGGGTTTCTTTCTAAAAAAAAAACCTCAGCTCTTGAGACAGGCTGAGCTCCTTTGCTTCTGTCCTCCAATAAATTAAAGATGAACTCTGCTGCATGTCTGATCTGCCTCTCTGCAGGTGGATGCAACTGATTCCAAGCCAATTTAGCTGGGTCCTGCTGATATATAAATCTATATAAATAAATCCTCATAGATCTTCACAGTGAGACTGGCTGCCCTGGGGAGGATCTTGGCCCCATCAAAAGGGCAACATGTCTTCTCATGCTCTCTTCTACTAGGAACAGCATTCTTCAATGGTGAAATACTTCAGGTTAAACTCTTTTTTTTTTTGCAAGACCTTATTTGTGATACAGTAAGTTGCAAGTGAATTCACGTATCAAGTTGTGAAAATCTGTGTATATGGAGAGTTAAAATAATTAAAGGGGGGTGCAGAAAGAGTAGTCCTGAAACATGAAACTTATTTTAAAAATGAGGCTTGAACAAGAGTTTATTAAAGTTATTGAAAAACAATTAACCAACTCTCCAGCCTGGTAAGGTTACTGTATATTAGCAATGCTTAGCAAAATGAATTATTTTAACGGATGACAATCGAGCCATGGAAATGAATTTTAATTGCTGAAATAAGTAGAATGTTGCAATATGCTCATATGGCTGGAGGTAGCATTTGCAGGTCGTATAATTTGGTTATAATACTGTGGTGTTACAGTACCTTGGTGGACCAGATCTTTTATTTTGCAGGTTTTTATTCCTCCAGGCTTTGCAAACCTTTAGTCATAATAAGGATGTCTATTATCCTAGTGCCTGCCAAATTTTGAGTTACAAGCCCTTGGAGTTATGGTAGGAAAAACATCAACAGAGCTTCCAATTTAAAAAAAAAATCTCTTGATGCATCAGACCCCTACAACTTGCAGGTCCTGGAAGAGAGATTGTTTACAGTTGGAAAGGAAAGTGAAACATTTCAAAGAATTATAAATATAGGCAGATAAGAGACACACACATCAACATTCAACTCATCAACACGGCAAGGCAACATGCCATGCCACACACACCAGCTGCCAACAACAATCAGGTGGCAGCAAAGGTGGCAGCAGACAAGGCAACTAGGATTTTCCTCCCTAGATTCAAATTGGTTTGGCTGGATGAGCATTTAGAATTATTTTGTGTATTCTTAATATGCTTAGAGGCTAAGAAAGTCCATATATATATATATAAAGAACGTTGATGTTTTAGAGTTGTATTCTCTGTTGTTCAATAAACCTTTTTAGGCTATAAGCTTTGGCATTTTTAGAATGTAAGCTACTGAAATTTTGAAAGATCATTATAACGTGACTAGAGTATTTGCCTGCAACTTAATTGTTCATGTATTGTTAAAGGATTTATGCCTATAATTTTTCAGAGCTGTAAGACTTTTGTATTTTTACAGCAACTTTGAAGTATTTTTGTGTTTAAGGAACATAGAAGCAATGCAGATAAATAAGCCTTGTCAGAATTAGACAAGCTAATGCTGACTGCAGTTATTATTAGGAAAATGCTTACCGGTATATCTTGCCACCCAGATGAATTTTGATATGATTAGAAATGATTGTCTAATTTCATTCTGGAATTAACCCTTCTGCGATAAATGCCAGCTGCAATAAGAACATAAGAAGAGCCCTGCTGGATTAGGCCAAGGGCCCATCTAGTCCAGTTTCCTGTATCTCACAGTGGCCCCACCAGATGCCTCTGGGAGCACACGAGAGAACTAGATACCTGTCTCCTGATACCCCTCCCCTGCATCTGGCATTTTGAGAAACACAGGCTTCTGGTTTTTTGTTTTTATGTCCTGTGAAGTCTATAAAGTTAGGTAGGGCTCCTAAGGATAGGTTCAGGCATTGGATTCTATGCTCACATTGAAATAAAAAAGAATAGTTGATGTTCAACATGTAACAAAAGTGATATTTTTCTATTTCAAAATACTTTGCTTCCCTGTTAGGCTATGTGTTTACTGGCCTTATGATTAATAAGCAATGGAGAAGAGAATAAAAAAATCTAGAATGATGGGCATATTGAAAAGATCAGTTTTCTAATCTATTGGCAGTGTTCAATATCATT